CCCACATCTCTGACAGACAACTAAAAAATTACTTCATTCAATCATTGTTGCTATGCACCTGCACACCCCTCTCAAACCTTTAGTTTTCAGTTGATTCTGTACAGAACCGATGGAAAAACTTACTTACACACATTACATGATGTGGCTTCGCTTGATAATGCGCTAGGAGTTACTTAAATTATGTATTTTGTTAGATTTATAGTGTTAGTTTTTTGGTAGGTACAAATAATGTACATATCATGAAGGGAAGTAACTCGCACTGTTCGGAATGGAGCAAACAAATAGTCTACTTCTTTGATATCAAAATCGAAAGATTATTGATCAGACAGGATTTATGGAGTTTAGAACTCAGATACATGCGTTGTGTTGATAAAATTCCTAGGTGCCTGTCTGATCTCATCGAGATAAGAAACATTCATTTTAATTCATTTTTTACACGAATTAGATCTATACTGTACTGGTCGGAGACGCATAGATAATAGTTATAACTTATAACCAAAGACATACACTGCCTCACAGACCAAACATAGTTTTCAAACAATTTACAATAGCTTATAAGAAAATCCATCAGCCAACACCAATTTCTGACACCCTATATCATCGCCCGAATCGGTAGCCTTGATAAAGTGACGTCATCGTTGTCCTCAACGGTAGTATCGGTAATCTATGGTGGCTGATTTGTGCCATTTCGCGTTTTCGTCCCGCGACCCCGCCAAGCGAAAAGTCGAGAATTAACAATTAAAATGGCGGGGGCGCGCAGCGAAAACACGCTAATTAGCGGAGGCGCGGGGCGAAAAGTCGAGATTTAATTGTAAAACCGCGGGGCCGCGAAGCGAAATATTTATTGTTATAGGGCGCTAATTAGCGTGCTTTTGTCCGCGCCCCCGCCAAATTATTCTTAAAAACCTCGACTTTTCGCTCCGCGCCCCCGCTAATTAGCGTGTTGTCGCTCCGCGCCCCCGCCGTTTTTGAAGTTAAAATCTCGTGTTTTCGCCCCGCGCCCCCGCTAATTAGCGTGTTTTCGCTCCGCGCCCCCGCCGTTTTATACATTTATTAAACCCTGTTTGGCGTCCCCGATAATTAGCGTGTTTTCGCACCGCGTCCCCGCCGTTTTAATTCTTAAATCTCGTACCGCGACCCCGCGGGGCGAAGTTTTTTCCTTAAATCTCGCCCCGCGCCCTCGCTAATTAGCGTGTTTTCGCCCCGCGCCCCGCCGTTTTATTTCTTAAATCTTGTCCCGCGACCCCGCGGGGCGAAGTTTTTCCCTTAAATCTCGCCCCGCGACCCCGCTAATTAGCGTGTTTTCGCCCTGCGCCCAAGCCGTATTATTTCTTAAATCTCGTCCCGCGACCCCGCGGGGCAATGTTTTATTTCTTAAATCTCGCCCCGCGCCCCCGCTAATTAGCGTCTTTTCGGCCCGCGCCCCCGCCGTTTTATTCCTTAAATCTCGTCCCGCGACCCCGCGGCGCGAAGTTTTATTTCTTAATTTTCGTGTTTTCGTCTTCCGGTGTTTCAGTTGTGTCATGCGCGTTAGAATGTTATTGTTTTTTCAATATGTCGGATAATTTATACACGTCTTTATCTGGTAACACATTTGTAGACAGTATCCTTTCATTACATTACAATTACATTACACATATGCCAAATCAACAATGGCCGACTATAGTGACCACGATAGTATCCTTTTTCCATAACCTATAATGTGATTACTTTCCGACTAGTTTGCAGACCTTATAAAAGTTAAATTAAAAACGTGAATCTTTCAGTTAATCTAATTGGCAAATTTCCAACATTGTCAGAATTATACTTCTTAACAAAACAAAGGAGATGAACTGGTCAGAGAATATTTTTTTTCGGGATTCCAATATTCCGAAATTGTTTCTCTACTCTACGAGCGACGCGGCATGATAATAAGGTAAGCTTCGCCATTATATTATATAATACAATTTCATATTGATATATATAATTATAAAATGTTATTTTATATTAATATTATTATATATTATATCATATTATATTAGTTAGTAAGTCTGAAATAATGTGATACAAGTCCCACCCCCCATATCCGACCCCGGTCTTTAGCCCCCCCCCCCCCGTCTTTAGCCACCCCGTCCATCTGGCTTGACGTACATAAATCGATTTACGTTATAAATTTAATTTATGTATGTTTGCAAAACCGGTATATAACCAGGAACTCGAACCTCCAAAAGGACTGACCGGTTAAACACTAAAATTACTCTCTTTTTTTTTAATGGGAATACAAAAAATCTAAAAAATATTGATAGCAATGAAGCAAGGGATCCGTTAATGTTGGAACATGAGCCCTTTTTAGGTGTTGGTTTATGTAGGGTGAAGATAATTTTTCTCAGACTTTGTAGAGATCAGTAACACTGACAAATATAAAAACAAGAGAGGGGAGGGGAGAAGGGGTGGGGGAGGGAGAGAAGAACTTTTTTAATGTGTATCAGTTTCATGTAAAAAGTAACAGTATATCTAAAAAAGATAAATTGTTTGCAGTATACGACAACTGAACCGAATTCTTGGGCGTTTAGGACTCCGTCGCCATTCCACACACGCCGCTAGGCAAGAAGCATACGGAGCAGTAGTTGTAAGTTTTAAAGGGACTCCACTGAGGTTTAAAAGTCTAAAAACATAACATTTGAATTTCTTACTTAAATGAGCTGGGGCACTTTAAACCGTAATATATGCAAAGATAGTTAAGAAATATACTTTGAAATAAATTGAAAATCGTATTTTGATGCTTTTCTTAGCCTAATTTGAGTGAAAAGCGTTTGAACGCTTTTCAGTTTGGGTCAGTTTTTTACAGTTTGAATATTTATTCCGGAAAAACAGTGTGCGCGCATGATCTGAAATTTTGCACAAAGATTAGTGGTCTAAACCTACATCAAATGGTACAATTATCTGGAAAAAATATTTTCAGTCCCATCATGTCAAAAAACCTCAGTGGAGGTCATATCTTAGAAGGCTACATTATGTGGTTATTGTTTTAATCTCTGAAATGGCATGTCTATCAAAATTTACCAAATTATATTCTATTTATGGTAATTGACTGAACGTCAAAACGTAGAAAGAATAATGATGATTAGAAAAAGAAATGTACACAAAACTTGACCACCTTTGATTGAACGGTGATCAGGCGAGCAAACGTGCATGACATCCTTACCCTTCAGTTCTTTTATATTCTTCAGTATAACAATAAAGATTTTGCCTGAAATATGTCAATAAAATTTCCTACGCCTCATAGATTTTATTTTGCCCTTGAGACTGAGGAGTTGCCTGTAATGATTGAGGCATCATGATCAGAATGGCAACCACCATTCACCCCTGCATAGTATTAAGAGGCATATAGCTGTAGTCTATAAATCTGTAAGCTCCAGCAGGTGAGAAGGTTTTAAGCCCTGGAATTTCATTGAAGTTTGTTACATCCGAGGTTATCCAAAGTCATCTTCCCTGTTTCTGCTCCATAACAATAAACTGTGTCCAACCAATCAAACAAAGAAACATAAATCTTATTTACTAAGTTATTAATAGTAAGAACATTATTATTTCAGTATGAATTAAATGGGAGCGGTCGAAATTTGGGGTACCGTGGCATGGCCCACCGACTAGCATCTGCCCATGGAATAGTGGTTCCTAGGTAAATATGTTGCTTGTGTGTTTTATTGACTTGAAGTCACATTCAGAACAATAACAAATATACGGCATGGTTTGATAGGGGAGTACTGTGTACATCAACAATAACTGTCGAATAGGTAAACTTCTGCTGAAATTCATACTTAAAGTTCGTATCAAAAAGTTTTGCATACATCCTAAGTTTGTAGGTGGTTATATATGTCATTATAAGATATTGCATTGTTTGAGAATAAAACAAAATTATCTCGCGTTTTCAATGCAATTGAATAATATACTAGTAACTCCTCAATGCCATTCATCATATTTTTGCCTTTTGATAGAGAAACTGTGCGCTCCTTACTACTTTCAATTGACCCGGATGGTGTCGAAACCAGAAGGAGAAGAGTGTTTAATAGGCGGTCGTACTTTAACGAAGGGCCAAACTTCCTTATACATATAGACGGGTATGACAAATTGAAGCGATATGGATTTCCTATACACGCTGCCATCGATGGGTACAGTATTTCCGAATTGTTTTCTTCTTTGTTTTGTTATTGTGTTGTTTTTTTTTTCAATTTTCATACAGGAGAATTTCCGGGTTTTTTAGATGTTCATGATTTATCCCTTACAACTTCATTAATACAGGGAAAAGAACTGTAATTTCCTTGCCAATTGACTTATAAATAAATTTTAATGGTATGGAACAAATTTTCAGCTGTAAAAGCGGACAGTGAAAGAATGATAACCAATAGTGAAAATTGACAATTTATCTTTTCAGATTTTCACGTCGGCTTCTATGGTTAGAAGCGGTCAGTTCTAATAACAATCCAAAAATCGTGGCGACATTATTTCTTCGCTATATTCAGGAAATAAAAGGTACTGTTTTGGAGTATAATTAAAAGTGATGAGTGTAATGCAATGTTCAGAATACCTTCTAAAATCTAGACGAATTCACGCTTCGTTATCATAAAAAGATATATGCAAGGCAGAAATAATATTTTAACAGTAGAAAGATCAAACTAAGAAAGGCTGAATCATACAATGTATTAAAAACCATTTATGTTATAAGCTTAAGGAAAATAAGAGAATTGCTTAATTTCCATTATTTACATTTAGTACATTACTTTTACAATTTACTTTTTTTTCAAATTGCAGACTTTTAGGGCAAACGTTCAAATAATGTGAATCGCGACACTAGATTTCATTTCGTTGAATTTTGCCTCGAACTGTCCAATTTTAATAAGCTTTTCAGTAAGATAATGGCCACATATTGAAATACTTCTATACACAAAGGATGTAATAAAAGACAATATTTTGTTATCATAATCCGCTGATTGTAGACGTTACATTTATAATATTTTTATAACACATTTTATCATTCATTCAACAAAGGTGTACCTCGTTGTTTGCGAATGGATTGTGGGACAGAGAATACCTTGACAGAGGACATTCAGAAGGCATTCCGCCATAATCATACAGATAGCATGGCGGGGAGTAAGAGTGTGATTAAAGGAAGTTCTCATTCTAACCAGGTAGGCCTTTTTGTATCGGTTAATCATTTTCATAAAATTTATCCCCCTTCCTTACCTTACAACAATAAATAATTAATAAAAACCTTCTGAACAAATTGACAAACGTAAATTTATCCTTTAAAAGTCTTTATCTGTCGAAATGATAATAGTGCAGCAAAGATTTAGAAATTAATGCAATGTTTGTGCTAAGAACGTTATAAGGCACATTTGTTAAGATTTTATAGCATTCTGTGTGGGGCCTTATATGTCACAACGCCGCTAAATGTCGCAACTGCCGCTAAATGTCACAAGGGTTGAAGCACCAGATTGCATGAGGCGACTAAATGGGTTCGAATAAATTGCATCTCTATGCATCTCTTAACACAAGCAGGTAAGGTGGTTTTGACCCATGGCATTGCCTTTTTGTTGGTGTTGCAGTCATCTTTCCCGTTTCGGTGCCATATGATTTTAATTGTATGCTCCGTAAAAACAAAAAAACAAATAAATAGAAAAACTAATTTAGAATTTTTAATGATATTTTTATGTAATCAAAGTTATTTACATTTTCTCAAGCGAATTGAGAGATGGTGGAGGTCTGGGAGACAAGGAGCATTCCAGTATTGGATCGAGCTGTTTGCCAGTATAGAAGCGGCTGGTTATCTGGAAACTACAAATCCTTTGCACGTGTGAGCATCTAAAATATTCCAGTTTAACATATACCTTTAAATATCCTTATAACCCCAGTATAGATTTGGCTTCACATCATACTTAAAAGTTGCACCGTTATATGTATAAAACGATTCTATCACTCCACGTGATTTGGCACTATAGATAAAGAAGAAAAAAAAACGGTGTTAAACTACCAATAAACACTGGTTAAGGACTACTTGTATTATTGTATATGCGGCTGTTATGTTTCTTCCATCGATTATATAGTTTACAAGGCCTTTTAAAGCAACAATAAAAAGCATTTTTATTTATATTTTCAGTTGTTATAATGTTTTCTTTTCATACAATACCGAAATAATATCTCACATACACTAACGCCACATATTTAATTCATATCAGTTAATAAAAATTTTGACAAAACGGCGCCAATCCGTAAGCAGCGTAATGACGTCATCCTAAGTAAACAAGTCATTAATTTTATAAAACAAGCTGACGTTATTTCATACATACAAGAATGATAAATGGGGCACCGATGTAAGCACGATACGACGTAATTTTTTTGTTGTTGAAAACTTGAAAAAAATAACGTTTTTTCTTATTATTTCTTTTGTTTCATAATTTCTACATGTATATCTCCGCAACAGTAGGTTACGAAAATCGAACATCGTTATACGAAAATCGGCACCGGAAGTTATTTCCGCTTGAAAAAATTAACATTAGTGCGCTTCCTTATTTTATCGTGTTAGAATCGAAATAACATCGGCCTGAGAGATGTATATCGGCTATTGAACACCGGTTTTGTCGTTTTGAAGCGAGAAAATTAACCACTTAGGCCTACGGCCTTCGTGGTCCATTCCTACACATCAAAATCCAAACCGGTGTTAAATAGCCGATGAACACCTCTCAGGCCGATGTTATTTCTTAAATAAACCTCATTTTCATATGGCAAGATAAAATACCGGTAGAACAATACACCAGACAGCGACATTCTTTGGTAATAATATGTAAATTGCAGTTTCGGCTCAGCTCAGCAAACAACATTTCAGCCGTCCTTTATAACTTTTCTATCTCGAGTAATTTTTGTAACCTTATATCTTATTTTAAATTTCTAATTTAAATATTGTTGCAGTGACTGTTTGCGCTTCTGTTTCTTTGATCTGCTCGACACAGACCTGAAGAAAGTATTGTCAGACTGGAACAGTCATCGGATTCGACAAAGCCGCGGATCAGATTCCATAGGTGGTAAACCTGATATGCTGTATCACATGCCATTCTTATTTGGTAAGCAAATTATTTTGAAAAAAAAAATATATCTCCTATTTTCCATAACAGTCCTTCTTGGCGAAAGAATATGATGGCATTTCTGTTCCAGCTATCCTTTCCATGAACTATTGTTAGCAGCAGAAGGTAAGTGCATTGTTGGGATAATACCTATCCTTTTAACGAACATTTTTTTCAAATACAGATTGCTTTGGCTTTAGTAAAAGCTAGAACACATATAAACATTATAAATTATGTCCCAGGTCAGTTATGTATGTAAATAGATGGTAACTGCCGCTATGTCACTTATCTTCCAAGTTTGATTTGAAACATTAATCTAGTGTTCAAAATGTAGTGTACAAGGCGACAGGTTTGCGCGATTTCTCCATCGTTGCCACTGTAGTCGAGTTTAAGTCTTACCAGAGCCCTTATATTATTTTATACTAATCACTTGTATACTTCCCACCACCACCCCAATGGCGAATAATTTATTTGGTGTAATAATTCAAACCAATTGATGATTCTGTTTATCATATATTTTAAGAGTTAATTGGTACTGCAGTTTAATACACTTTAAAACTTTTCACGAAACAAGTTTATGTAAAATAATCTTCGGGGTTGGACAACTTTGGATGGTATTTTTTAAATTATAAATATCATAATTTGAGTATTTTAATATTACATAAATAAATATATGGGCTCTTAGGCATCAAGCATAAAACTAACATTGGAATTACCGCTAAAATCTAATACAAAAAATATGTTCATACGCTTTTAGGAGGCAGGGATTACAAGAAGGAAGTGGACAGGAGGGACATAGAAGAAGTGCAGAGACAGTTTGGTGTCACGTCACCTTTTGCCCGTTGTAGCGACATGTTTCAAAGTGAAATGCTGGAGCGAAACATACATAAGCCCTCCACTATGGAAGAAGCGAAAATCTTGTTCCAGCGTTTAGTTCGGATTTAACTCATTACAGGACTGGAGCAGAGAGGACTACACCCAAATCCCGCAACATTGCCATTATTTCATTGTTGTAAAGAATATATTTAAAAAATATATGCAATTAAATGAGAGATTCAATGTGTAAATGTGAAATTGCATAGTTTCCTCCCGTAAAAAATGTAAATTTAAAATGTATTTACATGTCAGTAAAAGTGTCTTGGGGTGATCTTGATATGTCTTGACGTAGTCTTGATGTGTCTTGGCGTGGTCTTGGGGTAAATAGACCGACCGGTGCCTCTACAGCATGCAGAAATCATGATCACAAAATAGAAAAATATCGTGTTTTTTTTCATCGATTATTATTTTACATTCATAATTATATATAAATCGTTGTGAAAAGATGAATAAGACCTTTAAAAGTTCACTTTGTTGGGTAAAAAGGCAAGATTTAAGCATTTTGTCATTCAAGCGCCTTGTCCGGTATATACCAGAATACGATATTTAGTGTGGTGCTCCACGGAAAAATTAATTCAACTTGAAATTAAAGAATATTTTTTAACAGATATTGCTTTCACTTGATATAAAAGAAGAGTATTGTCGAGTAATTCTTACTTAATATAGATTAAGTGAGCTTTACTTAATGACAGATTTATAGTATTTTGCATCATGCAACAATCTGATTATTGAGGCATGTATGTAATTGGAACAGACAGATTTAAGTAAATAGACTAATTGCTGTGGTTTTGCAGCGCACCAACGCAATAATAAACATGTAAAGTAAGTGTATAAAAAATTGCCTAATAATCCGAGTCTTGCTTTCTGTTACAATATATTAGTTATACAAAAGTGAAGGTTGTCTATTTCTTTTTCTTTTTATTCACACTTTTTATATATTGCATAATAAATTCTATTAACAGTAAAAGTTGTAAAACAGTAACACAGAAATTTTCTAAATCTTTTCTCTGTCCTTTTTTAGTATGAATATACATCTATTTTTATATCAAAAGGACACATTTTTCCCTATCTTAATTGTCTCAATCTATATTAAGCTCATTGTTAAAAAGAATGCATCTACATGTACATTGAGTTATAAATCTAATGAATTCAAATCATTGTATTTGGTAGTACCACATAAACACAAGGGCCATCAGTGATGGCATGTGTCACCTAATGATAGCCAATTATGTTGCAGCTACTGTAGGAGACCCAAAAATCATTAACAGAGCAAAACAAATTTTTATTCAAAGCCCATAACTCGGCTAAACATCCCTCAACCGGAACACCCGTGTGATATGTGCAACTACTTGAGCTACAGATCAATCCTGTAAAGTTTCATTAAAATTGCATAAGTGGTATAAGAGGAGTACTCCAGACAAACTTTGAAATTAAAAATAAAGGGCCATAACTCGGACAAAAATCACTGAACCAAAACAAGCTGATGATATGCACAACTAGACTTGGTACTGATCATTCCTATAAAAGTTGGATAAAATTGCACCAGCAGTTTTTAAGTAGTTCGGATAAGATTCTGTGCAGCTGGCAACACACACACAAAACAAGAGGGCCATGATGGCCCTGAAGTCGCTCACCTGTATATAGGCCCTCATAGCGGGGCCAGTTTTAACCCCAGGGCTTTTATTTGAACAAACTTGGTAGACACCCACTATAAGATCATGCTAAACATCTAAGGTCTAGCTGGTCAAGTTTTTTCTTTACACATATAGTTAAATAATGACACACCTGGGGCAGGGCCAGTTTGGACCTAAGGGCTTTTATTTGAACAATCTTTGTAGACACTTACTTAAGAAATGTTTCATGCTTAATATCTGAACTCTAGCTATTCTGATATTTCGAAGAAGATTTTTAAGTTTTTGCTATACACATATAAGGAAAATCAATGACCCCCCGGGGTGGGCCAATTTTGACCCCAGGGCTTTTATTTGAACCAACTTTGTAGACACTTACTAGAAGATGTTTCATGCTTAATATCTAAACTCTAGCTATTCAGGTTTTTTTCAAAGAAGATTTTTAAGTTCTTGCTTTACACATATAAGAAAATCAATGTCCCCTGGGGCGGGGCCAATTTTGACCCCAGGGCTTTTATTTGAACAACTTTGTAGACACTCACTAGAAGATGCTTCGTGCTTAATATCTAAACTCTAGCTATTTAAGTTTTTTCAAAGAAGATTTTTTAAGTTTTTGTTATACACATATAAGGAAAATGAATGACCCCCGGGATGGGGCCAATTTTGACCCCAGGGCTTTTATTTGAATAAACTTGTTCGACACTCACTAGAAGATGTTTCATTCTTAGTATCTAAACTCTAGCTATTTGGTTTTTTTCAAAGAAGATTTTTTAAGTTTTTGCTATACACATATAATGAAAATCAATGACCCCCTAGGCCGGGCCAATTTTGACCCTAGGACTCTAATCTGAACAAACTTGGTAGACATCCATTAGAACATGTTTCATGCTAAATATCTTAGCTCTAGCTCTTTGGGTTCTTAAAAGAAGATTTTTTAAGTTTTTACTATATGCATATAGGGAAAATCAATGACCCCCTGGGGCAGGCCAATTTGACCCCAGGGCTTTTATTTGAACAAACTTGGTAGACTACCATTAGAAGATGTTTCATGCCAAATATCTAAGATCTAGCTCTTTGGGTTTTTTAGAAGAAGATATTTAAAGTTTTTTCTTTTGGTTGCCATGGCAACTAGAGTTCTGCATGGAATAGAATTCTTTGAACAACTTTGTTAAGGCTTCACACAAGGAACATCCCTGTGAATTTTCATTATGATCTGCCTTATGGTTTCAGAGGAGATGTCGTTTTAAAAGTGTGAACGGACAACGTACGACAGATGAAGAGTGATCCTAATAGCTGACCCTGAGCATATGCTCAGGTGAGCTAAAAACCTTTTTCAAATATGGGCCATAACTCATTCAACCAGAAAACCCTTATACTATGCACAGAAAATTAAGCCACAGATCAATCCTGTAAAGTTTCATTGAATTGCTTCTGTGGCATAAGAGAAGTAGTCCTGACAAAAAAAACAACAAAACATTTAAGGGCCATAACTTTGACAACAAGAGCTGTCGGAAGGACAGCACGCTCGACTATTCTAAGTGCTTGATAGTAAAAGAGCCTTAATAATGTTAAATTTTTTAAGTTCACAAAAGGGCTAATTTTTTTTTATAAATTCATGTTATAGGCCTTAGAGAGAGTCTAATTATACAGTATTGGCTTGACTATTCGGAAGGTAATGTTACAAGGGTGTTTTATTGAGTATAATAATACTAATTACCTATGAATACATAAATTTGACAGAAAAGGTACAAAGGCTTGTTATTAAGATGTTTTATCAAGCAAATCACTGCTTTATTATTATGAATGCATAAAATTGTCCCAAAAAAGGCACAAAACCAATTCAGTAGTTATTGAGATAACAGCTTACAAGCAAAACTTTACCAAGAATTTCTAAGTTGAAAAAGGGGAGAAAAATCATCCTAAATGCAAGATAGAATTATGGATCTTTGTCAGTGACCTACAATTATGACCCTAAATGTGAAGTTTTAAATAAATATCTTTAATAGTTATTGAGATATGTAAAATTGTTACTATAAAAAAGTATTTTAAATTTCAAGTGAATATCTCAAGCAATAATTAAGATATTTGACTTTACAAAAAAACTTTAACCAAAATTTCTAAGTTCCAAAGGGGCATAATTCTGTCATTATTGTAGGCAGAGTTATCCAACTTGTCAATCTGATGTACCTTGTTACTATAAATAAGTATTGTAAGTTTCATTTGAATATCTCAAGCAATAATTGAGATATTTGACTTCACAAAAATCTTTAACCAAAATATCTAAGTTTAAAAGGGGCATAATTCTGTCAATATTGTAGGCAGAGTTATCCAACTTGTCAATCTGATGTACCTTGTTACTATAAATAAGTATTGTAAGTTTCAATTGAATATCTCAAGCAATAATTGAGATATTTGACTTTACAAAAAACTTTAACCAAAATTTCTAAGTTAAAAAGGGGCATAATTCTGTCAATATTGTAGGCAGAGTTATCCAACTTGTCAATCTGATGTACCTTGTTACTATTAATAAGTATTGTAAGTTTCAATTGAATATCTCAAGTAATAATTGAGATATTTGACTTTACAAAAAACTTTAACCAAAATATCTAAGTTAAAAAGGGGCATAATTCTGTCAATATTGTAGGCAGAGTTATCCAACTTGTCAATGTGATGTACCTTGTTACTATAAATAAGTATTGTAAGTTTCAATTGAATATCTCAAGCAATAATTGAGATATTTGACTTTACAAAAAACTTTAACCAAAATTTCTAAGTTAAAAAGGGGCATAATTCTGTCAATATTGTAGACAGAGTTATCCAACTTGTCAATCTGATTTACCTTGTTACTATTAATAAGTATTGTAAGTTTCAATTGAATATCTCAAGCAATAATTGAGATATTTGACTTTACAAAAAACTTTAACCAACGCAGACGCCGACGCGGACGCCGACGCCGGGGCGACTACAATAGCTCTCATATTCTTCGAATAGTCGAGCTAAAAATAATTGAACAGGAAAATGCCAATGATATGGACAACTAGACTTGGTACGGATCATTCTGTATTGGAAAGAAAATGCCCAGTGTGAGGAGTAGTCTAGGAGAGGTTGGACTGAAGAAGAAAATGTCACCATACTCCACCAGATTAGTTTATTGATGGCAAGTAGTGATAAGATAGAACTTGTATTCTCAAATTTAAAAAAGTTCTGGACATGAATTTCCTTGTTTTTTGTTTTATAAAAATTAAACCATTGTGGAATAAAAATGAATATTCAATAATCAAAAAATAAAATTCAACAAAAGTTAAAATTTTAATTTTAAAAACATGTCCATCAGCACCATCTTTACTAAAATGGTCCATGGCCCCCAGTTCTCGCTTAAAGACACTGGACACAAAAAGAAACCGTTTAATTATATCTTTTATAAGATCTTGAAAAGGCCCGAAAACAAAATCTACTTCACTATTTTGGTTTATCCACAGTTATAAGGAATATGCATGAAACTTCAAGTGCTGAACTTGACTTTTCAGCAAGCTGTTGTTTTTGAGCTTGACATTTTATATTAAAGTTATTTTTAAGTCACTTGTGCACATTTCTTTCAAAAAATTACAGCAGTATGTTGATAATTACTTAAGATATTGACCAAAAACGTTTTCAGTTTTAAAGGTAATAGTGACTTTGACCTTGTGATCCAAAAATTAAAAGGGTCTTCTACTAAATATTGACAATCATCCTATGAAGTTTGAACACTGTGGGTCAAATGGATCTTTAGTTTTGTTCCAGAAACCACAGTTTTCAGTGTAAAGATCATTGTGATGCTGACCTTCGACCTTATGACCCTAAAATCACTAGGGGTAATGTATCGGACATGGCTGTTCATCCTAAAACATTTTACAGCTGTAGGTTTATTTATACTTAAGTTATTGAGCGGAAACTGTTTTCAGTTTTAAGGTAATAGTAACCTTGACCTTTGACCTTGTGACCCCAAAATAAATAGGGGTCTTCTACCCAATACTGACAATCACCCTATGAAGTTTAAACATATTGGGCCAAATGGAACTTAAGTTATGCTACAGAAACCACTATTTTCAGTGTAAAGATCATTGTGTCCCTGACCATTAACCTTATGAACCTAAATTCAACAGGGGTCATGTATTGGACTTGGCTGTTCATCCTATAAAATTTTACAGCAGTAGATTGATAAATACATAAGTTATTGAGTTATGGACAATTATCCTATGAAGTTTGAATATTGTGGGCCAAATGGAACTTAAGTCATGCTCCAGAAACTGTTTTGAGTTTTAAGGTAATAATGACCTTAACCTTGTGACCACAAAATCAATTTGGGTCTTCTACCTAATATAGACATTCATCCCATGAAGTTTGAATATTGTTGGCAAAATGGAACTTAAGTTATATATATATTTATAAATTATAAAAAGTTGACCCTTCTGGGGTTTGAACCCACAGCCCTAAGTTTCAGTATGTATTTTAGTTTTACCTATCTGAATAGTCTTCAAAGCAGACCTTAATCACTAATATAAAGAATTAAAACTGTGCTAAACATAGCTTCACTGATAGTTTAAACTTTCAAAAATCCATAGGATTCTTTAATAGCCTTGACCATCACAGATGTAATATGATCAGGGTCTGTCACTCTTGGTAACCAAAGCTGTAGTGCACAAGTTGAAGTTGATGGTAGACGACCAACATCAGAGTAAAAGTCTATATCTATTAATTTACTGAAGCCACAAGGTGGGATTCTGTCAGCACCAGTCACGAAAGAGAGAATCTCAGGATACGTAACTGCAATGTCAAGAGCTGAAATTGTAAACAATAATTAATACACAAAGGCACTATCAACATGTGTGTACTTAAACATGTCTTGGGACACATTTTCTGCAAATGCCTCTGTTTTCATCTGTTATTTACTGCCACTACATGCCTTACATTCTCCAAAATTATATTTCAGGACTAAGAAGTCATTTCTTAATATCTTTATTGATTTAGTTATATCTGCAGCTCATCGGCTGGCTAGGCTATATGCATGTTTATTCCAGAATGTTTTTTATTGGACAGTTGAACAAAGGCATTTTAAAGAGTAAGCTTCATATCTTGCATGCATTTCTGTAAGCCTCATAAAAAAGATTTTCCTTACAAATACTTAAAACTTTTAAACTACATGTTATTTACATATGGCAGTGACCTAAGTCACTTGTCAACCTTCTAGCTAGCACACAACTAGTTGCTGTGTTCATTTGGAAATGATACATTTCTGTACAAACATTACAATGATTACAGAATTTATTGAAATAGTACAAATAGCTTTCTACATTAAATACAAAGCAGGACACAACAGTCTCAGAAGGATGGACAAGAGCAAATATATATGCCCCACTCCCCAAAAATTAACCTGGGGGCATCTAAATATGTACAGGCTTATAATGACATATTGTTTAGGTTTAGGTTATTTCTTAAGTCTGCTTAAGCCCTTTAAGCCTCTAAACCGCCTGATCAGGGGAGAACCATGCGTTTTCTAACAGTTGACATCTTGTGCACTGTAAAAACAATTTGCTAAGTAGATATAAACTTATAACTACACTTTACCTTCAACTGACTGAAGAAAGGCTTCCCAGCCATAAACTGTGATTTCTTCAGATTGTCTTTGATTGGACCCAGTCTCACTAAAGTTGATTTTGAAGAGTTTGAGAAAGTCCTCCCCTGTTATTTCCTCTGTTTGGAAACAGAAAATAGGCTTGAAAATGGCAGCATGAGTGCTGACCATTTCCCATGCTTTACTGACATCATTCATCCCATTGATAAATTGAGAGATTTCACCTGCTGTCCTATAAACAAAATAATCAAAATATGCTTGTGTTTTTTTCTTTTGGGCAGATATTGGTAAAGAATGTCTTGAAATTGATTTTTATTACATTCAGTTCAGTGGCTTAAATCCAAGTTGTCAAATGCAAGATTGTCAGTAACAAGCATGACAAATTAAACAAAGGCCCTGTGTCACTCACAGATGCATGGTTCAGTATCATTGCTGTAGCTTCAAATAAAGAAATGTTTTTCATTCAGGGTAAACAAACCATTTTTGTCTGATTGAGAAATGTTTAGGGAATTTACATTAACATATTATGACTTGTTACAGCAGAATTACTTTTTATTTGATGAAACATGTAAATACAAAATTATGCTGTTTTTTGTTTTTTTTTTAACAAGGCTCAATTGAGTAAACACAACATCAATTACCTGTAGAATATTTGATGTTTTTTAATGATTTGTATTAGTCCCTCCTTGTCATCTTTTGCCATTTTATACACATTTGATATTCCAAAATCTAACAGCTGGTCACAGTATTTTGAAAGAAAAACATCTGTCTTCTGACAGTTGTCAGCATTTATCAACTGAAAATAAAAGAAGGTATTTAAGACACAAGCTACAAGCAAAAATGCAAAAGGTCTGACTTACATGCAATAACACAATATGAAGTCTGTATATAAAATTTAATGAGATTGTGAGTGCAGCTGAAAATACATTTAAGTAACAAAGAAAATCCATAGTGATCCAGAAGAACCTTCATTCAAACTATATTGAAACTATATTTAGATAATTTCAGTGCTAACTTTCATTCTAAGTTTCATGAAGATTTATTACAAAATATGCCAGTCACAACCCCATTTTATATATACTGATTTTAACTTTACTGAGATATTATCAAAAGGAATTTTTGGCCAAATGACAGTAATATCCAATGAAAAATATATCTTCTACAAAGTGTATAATGACTTTCTGTTATTCTGACCTTGTGACATAGTTTTAAACCAACTTGAACATCTTTTCAATGCCATGGTGAACATTCTACAATGTTTCACAAAGATCAAATGAAAAATAAGTCTCTTTATTGATAACAAATTTGTTATTTTGTGTGACCTAAATTTTTATTTAATATTACCCATTCCAGTTAAATGCACACAAATGATGTTTGATGACCCAGTATTCCTTAATTATTATCAAGGTCAATAAGAATAAAATAGCATTTAGAATAGTCAATACTGACAAGGTTCTTTTATGATTTGACAAACTCAGTTTTTAACCAAATGTAACTGATATTTGAAACTGACCTTACAGTCATATTGACAAAGATTGATCTGTTTTACAACAGTCAAAGGCCTTTTCTATGACATCACATAATTACAAAGTTTTTAACAAAACGTGTCCTTGACTCAATGTTAACCTATGGGAGAATGAACAAGAGGGCCATGATTTCATGAGTTGCTCACCAAAAAACAACTGCTTTTCAGTGTTGGAAATTATCCATTGTCAAGATGTTCAAAGGTTTTTTTTTATTTTTAGCTTTAGTGGCCCTTTTTTCAAATTAATATGAGCAAACTTGAATAAAGACTACCCAAGAATACTACAAGTTTGGTGATCATCCACCAATTAGTTATGTAGAAAAGTTTAAGGTTTTATTTACTAAAAGGGGCCAATTGAAATGACATAAGAAAATTCATGCCACAGACCAAATTTGAAGTAAATTTATCTGCCCTGCAATTTCAGAAAAGAAGACAATTGTTGACGCATGAGGGCGGACGCAGTAGCATCCCCCTTTTCACCCTGAACCTTCGGTTCTGGTAAGCTAATAATACAACATGAAAATAAAATATGTGTCAGTAACAGTTTTAATCCACACACATGCACACGGACACACGTACACATGAATGTATGCATTTTGTGTAGAGAAGAAAAATTAACATACAAAGACTTACTTCCTGTATCATTTGTTTTATTTCCTCAGACAGAACATTTTCCACCTGTTTTAGGTCTGTATGGTGCCCAACCATCAAATCAAACAAGTTCGGTGACAGGAAATGCATACCCGGACCATCCTGGGCCAAGGACAATCCGACTACTCGTCCAACCAGGCGATATTGATCTTTCTCAAGGCAAATTAGATTATGAGAGAAGACTTTTTCTTCAATGGGTCCCTCAAAAAACATTGATTCTCTCAAGTCCCTCATTACCAGCCTAGTTAAAAGAAAGGTAGTCACATTTTTATTTACTTAAACTGAATTTTAATACACAATTGAACCAGTTAGCAAACAAGAGGGACTAGCATGATGACCTTGAATTGATGAGTCTATATTGTAAGGACAATAAGACAAGTAAACTAATTAAAGGTAATTAAAGAGTCAATTACATGGTAAGTCTTGCAGATTTTCAACGTTTTTCCTTAATAAGAGAAACACTTGATACTTAATATGCCAAATATAAAGGCTTTAGACCTTGTGGTTTTGGAAAGGAATATTTTTTAAGGTTTTTTCCCCTTTTAATTTCTTTGGCAACCAGGGAATCATATGGAATTAAATTCTGTGAACAGTTTTGAAACTAGAAATGTGTCATCATGCCACGGATGCCCCCGCATGCAGCCAAAATTTCAGATGGTGCATTAATTATTTTTTTCATTTTAAGTTCAAAGCCCTTAAAACTTTTCAATGTTAACACAAACCATTTTCATACAATGTTCAAGGCACTAAAATTATTCAGTCTTAACCTTTTAAAAATAGCATATTGCATATTTGTAGCCAAAATAATGGCTAAAAGTATGAGTGCTGAAACTGAAAGTTCAAAATTTTTCCAACATTCAAGAAAGATAAGTTTGTCTAAAATCATTGAACCACAACCAAATTCAAACTTAAACTGCTTATTCCTAAGATGTATCTATATTATTTTCAAAGTGAAAGGGACATAACTCTGCAAAAAAAATCATCAAACCATGACCAAATTCCAACTTGACCTGTCCATTCCTTTGACATATCCATATGTCAAATTTAAGTAGAATATGTAACACTGTTGGGTAGATAATGACAGAAACTGTAAATTTCATATTATTTTCAAAGTGAAAGGGGCATTACTTTGCCAAAAATCATTGAACCATGACCAAATTCGAACAATGATCTGTATCGTTTTCCTTAATAAGAGAAACACTTGATACTTAATATGCCAAATATAAAGGCTTTAGACCTTGTGGTTTTGGAAAGGAATATTTTTTAAGGTTTTTTCCCCTTTTAAATTTCCTTGGCAACCAGGGAATCATATGGAATTAAATTCTGTGAACAGTTTTGAAAAAAGATAACACAAGGAACATTAAGGTGAAACGTCAAGTAAATCTGACCATGGTTTTGAAGAACAAGCTTTTTACTAAACAGTTTTCGCATATAATTCTATGTAAAACTTGTGAGCCCTAACATGGGGCCATTTTTGACCCCAGGGTGTTTTGGAATTTAGGTCCCACAACATATGATAATGGTGCCTGATTTGTGCCATTTGTGCCAAATGAAAAGACGTTAAATAACACGTTAATATGGCGGGGCGCAGAGCAAAAAACACACTAATAAGCAGGGGCGAAGGGCGAAGTTTAATAAATAAAACTTAGCCCCATAAGGGGGAGGACAAAAACACCAATGGCACAAATCAGCAACTAAATAACATAGAATGAGTATATGCACATTAAATTTGATTTCAAATTTATTCTCTACTGTTTTCTAACATCATAGTATAGCCCCGCAATTCTCTGAAATTTTATGGTACATATATAACAAATGAAATAAGAAAAATGTCATAGATAAAACACACATTCACTTTAATAAGGGCAAAGTTGCATTTTTTATGCAAACACCTTATGAATTGAACAAGTCTGTTTAAAGATATACTATGCTCAAATTGGATATCAGGAATTATTGGTATAATTGCTACACAGTCTCTTTGTAAATATAAAATAACATGTTTGACCTCACATAAAGTACCGTGTCATGTTTAAAAAACTACACACTATAGGTGGTCACAATATGAATATTGTCATTAAAAGTTCTTTAAAGAAAAGACCAACTTTACTTGTCCTGTTATCGGGAACATGGCTTCTAATTCATTGTTAATTCATTTTTTATTCAAATTAGACATATTAAATAAGGATTTCATAGGTTTTAACAAATTTCTTTGTTAAAATAGTTTACTCAAAGATGAGCATAGAAGATCTTTAAAATTAAATCATAAATGAAACTGCTATTATGTAGTCAACTTATTGTTGACAGATGGATGACGCCTGGGGGACATCATTTAGCAATCACAAAAGCTCACCTTGAGCCTTTGGCTCATGTGAGCTAAAAAACTGTCTGGATTTTGTAATAACAATTGGATGCAAAGTGGCTGACAAATGACACTTGTATTGTGGCTGATTTGTGTCATTCATATTTTCGCCCTGCAAACCCGCCAAGCAAAAAGTCGAAAATTTACAAGTTAAAATGGCGGGACGCGGATAAGCGTGATTTCACTCCGCGCCATCACAATTTTACATCTGAAATATCGCTCCGTGCCCCAGTGGGGTGAAGTTTTATTTATTAAAATTTGCACTGCGCCCTTGCTAATTAGTGTGTTTTCGGCCCGCGCCCCTGCCATTTTAACTTGTTAACCCTCGACTTTTCGCTTGGCGGGGTCACCAGGCGAAAACACCAATGGCACAAATCAGGCACCATTCACATACATCATAAGAATTTGCAATACAAGAAATGTTGAAATAATGTACAAAAACAAACCTAAAAAACTCCCTGCGTGGCCCGCCCTGATCCTCCCCAGGTTCACCTGTAAATTTAACAAACAGTCTTGCTTTGAGATTTACTGCTTTACGATCAAGACCTCGCAATGCTGTGTCAAGTATTTTAGTTCTCATCACTAATAGTTTATTCAAACAATCATCATCAACTGCTTTAATTTGGAACTGGGTCAAAACTTCTTTTATATCAGGCATGTCTGTGGACACAGGTACAGTCCTGCAAGTAAAGAAGTAATATTTATTAAAGAAATTTCGGAATTCAAAGGGAGATAAATCTGAAAAATATTGCATCAAGTGTTATGAACCTTGTCACATATGATCTTGTTGATAATAAGGAATATGTATTTGAAGTTTGAGGTAGATTCCCTTTAAATTAAAGAAGTTGAAGAGAAAAAAAAAACATTTTTCAAGTAAAAAAATCTAAGTTAACATGAAGATAATTCTTGCAAAATTGGTACTAGAGTTATGAACCTTGTCACATAACATGTGGTTAATGATAAGGAACATATATTTGAAGTATGATGTTGATCCCTTGAGAAATAAAGAAGTAACAGTTAAAAAATAATATTTTTTTAAGGAAAATTCTAATTCCAAGGGGAGATAAATATGATTATATTGGTGCTAGAGTTATGAACCTTGTCACATAAGATGTGGTTGATGATAAGGAACATATATTTGAAGTTTGAAGTTGATACCTTCAGAAATGAAAAAGTTATAGTAAAAAATTTTTTTACTGCACCAAAACTTTAATCTGAAATCTGGCTGGGAAGCCACCGCCAACCCCAGGGCGAGTAGGACAGCTCTCCATATACTTTGTATAGTCGAGCTAAAAATAGTATTTTTAAATAAAATTCTAAAATCAAGGGGAGATAAATCTGAAAATATTGGTGCTAGAGTTATGAACCTTGTCACATAAGATGTGGTTGATGATAAGGAACATATATTTGAAGTTTGAAGTTGATACCCTAAGAAATGACAAAGTTATAGTGAAAAATATTTTACTGCACATAAACTTTAATCTGAAATCTGGACATGGATGCCGGGGCGGATAGAACAGCTCTCCATATACTTTGTCTTGTCAAGCTAAAAAGGAAATATTAAATATTTTGATCTTATTTTTAACAGTCTTTTATATCACACTGTACTTAAAGGTATTTGTCTTGTTGATGGATCTCTAATATGTTGGTCATGTACAGTTTACATGTAATAAAATCTCCCATCACCAATTTTATCACTGTAGAATTCATTGCCAACCATTACAGATAAAAACATATATAGCATTTTGAACAGTGTGATCCCTGAAAGAATTTCTTTCATTTTTAGTGAGAAACCTTCAATAATAAATTTGCAAAGTGCACATCTGGGTAAATAACATTTACAAACAGATGGCAGTCTGAATAGAGTTTTCAGTTTCATTAAATTCTGATTTTATGAGAAGTGTTGTTAAACTTGGAAGCTGGCGTTTTGTAGATAATAAATAAATACTAGTTTACAGAGAACCTACCCAGAATTATGCTCCTCTGTAAGGCTTTGTAGGAGAGCTTCCTGAAGGTCTTCATCTTCACTGTCTTCAATTTCAATGACTTGATGGATTTCACTCAACTGTGACCTACAGTAACATAATGAAAGTGATTTTGATAACCTTTCACCGTCTTTAGTAAATTGGAGAAATCCAAAGGGATCCAGCACACACATCACAACCAACCTTTTTACCATGATTTTTATACAGAAGATTTGTTTTGGGTTAAAATAAACATTCAGTTATAATGCGAATGACACAAATATGTCTTGGCTAGGAATATATCACTGAATCCATGATTTAAATAAAATTCAGAACGTTTTTTTCAATCTATTATTTATGATGGTTTGATGTCTTGGGCTTTCCATGGTGAATAAGATGTCCTTTTAATGTACTTTGATCCAAAATTGTCATGTTTGTCGAAAGGAAAGTAAAATACAATTCAATCTAGAAACAGTTAATTAATAATTATCTACTACACTACTATATAATTATCTTATATAGAAAGTAAAATAAAAAGAAATTAAATTGGATCAGAAAAATATCAAATTTATTTCACTTGTGAACACCACAAATCAGCATTTACATAAGCCCTCATAAAAATATAAGAGTTTGGTGTAAATTGGTGAAATAAAATTGGTATTTCACTGAAACAATCAAAAAACAATCATATGTTGTCAAACAGTCAACAGTTCGAACAGTAACAAAAACTTTCAACAGAATTTTGGATTTCAATGGAAGGAATTTAAAGGCAATGGTAGAAACCAGGTAGAAACAAGAGCACCGCATAGGCGGGGAAGCATACGCCTGAATGCAAATTTGTTTTAAGAAAATAAAATTTAAAGTAATCAAAAATAATTTTTTAACAGAGAGGATACCAATCTATAACATTTGTCCGCAACATGTTGTATTTCAATTATCAATATTAAGATTTACATTAATGCATGCCGAAGAGCTATGCTCTTGTCACATGAATACTTAGTGACAATTATTTACGCCACAACTTTCACTGTGGAGTACAGACCCCAATCATGTCCCAGGCCTCAAATATTTTCAGAGTCACTCATTCTGCAGGACGAGTAGCCTCTAAATCCAATGTGTAGGCAATATTTTTCTACTGGTCCTGCATCAAATTCTCTTAAATTCTACTTGTAATTACCAGCAGTCGAGTGGAATTTTCTATCTCTGTGTTCTTAAAAAGCTAATTTTGAAGCACAGAGTGTTATTTACCTCCATGCAATTGTCACATAGTATAAATACTGACTGAAAAAAAAACAATAATGTTGTTTTTAGTGATTAAAAAACATATAAATAATATTATACAAGAAATTCAAAAGCACAAAATAGTATGCCTAAAAATAATTAAAATAAACCTCCCTTTACATTTTTTATATCAATACTCACACTGCAAACATTAATCTTATGTTCAGTCTACTTTATGATAACTCTACTGTAACAAAGAGATGATACATGCTAAAAATCTATGCTCTGCATGTTATAGATTGGAGAAAAAGACTTTAAAACATGTATACTATATAAATCTGTATACTTATAAACTGTGCAAAACCTACCCATCCCCCAACCAACCCACTGGGCACAGCCATCTTTTAATATCAGTGAAATGATTTTTGAACTATTGCAGGGTTCTTCTATGTAATGTTACATGCCAAATAACTATGATTTGGGATTTGTAACTTTACAGAAGAATACATAAATGAAAATAAGTTTTTCTATCCATGTGACCCCTGGGGGAAGGCCAATATTGACCCCTTGAGCATTTACATCTTTACATCAGCCCTTCAACCCATATCAGGCTTTCAATTTATTAGAGAAAGACTGCCCACAATATAGCAAAACAGTGGTAGCACTGTAAATTAACAACTGCCGGTACGGTACTTCAGACATCATTCATGTCCAAAGTTTTGATAAATTGCCTAAAAATTTAACATTTTATATTTATCATTTACAACTTATTGTTACTTATTGAATTTACATATTTTAAGTAACATCAGTTTCAATTAATAAGATTGTCTTATTTCAAAAAAAATTGCATCATATCAAACTATTATTTCCTTGATTATTATAATCTTAACAGTAAAAATATATAACAAGACGGCCATAATGGCCCTGAAATGGCTCACCTGAATATAAAAACTCTCCATGACAAAAAAACAACAACAAGTATTATGTAAACTATAAAGGAAAGCAGATATTAAATCTAAAACAGGTATCACAAAGCTCATATTTGTATCTGAAATTACATTTCTGGTTGCTATTGCTAAGGGAAAACAACAGTTCCAAAAGATGTGTACATATAAGAACAAGAGCTGTCGGTAGGACAGCAACGCTCGACTATTCTTAGTGCTTGATAGTAAAAAAAATGCTTGATACAGTTACCTCCTCCTGTTTACAGGTTGAGGTAATGATGGTGAACAAGTGTGCAAAGTTTCAAAGCCATATGTCAATGAACTTTGAAAATATTTGAGGTATTACAAAAACTTTAACATAAATTCTAAGTCGAAAAAGGGGCATAATTCTGTCAAAATGCTTGATAGAGTTACCTCCTCCTGTCTACAGGTTGGGGTCATGATGGTGAACAAGTGTGCAAAGTTTCAAAGCCATATGTCAATGGACTTTGAAAATATTTGAACTATTACAAAAACTTTAACATAAGTGGTTACGCCGACGCAGACGCCGACGCTCGGGTGACTGCAATAGCTCTACTTATTCTTATCGAATAGTCGAGCTAAAAATCAGTGAAAAACCAATTTTGACCCCAAAGCTTTTATTTGAACAAACTTGGTAGACACTCACCAGAAGATGTTTCATGGTAAATATTAAAGCACTAGCTTTTTGTTTTCTTTTAAAGGAGAGTTTTTAGTATATACATATTAGGAAAATCTAGAACCCCTTTGGGCGGGGCCAATATTGACCCAAGTGCTTTTATTTGAACAAACTTGGTAGACACTAACTAGAGATGTTTAATGCCAAATATCTAAGCTCTAGGCTAGCTCTTTTATCTTTTTAAAAGAAAATATTTTAAGGTTTTTTTCTTTCGGTTGCCATGGCAACCAGAGTTCTGCATGGAATTAAATTCTTTGAACAATTTTGAAAGGATGACCACCAAAGGAACATTCCTGTGAAGTTTGGATGACATTGGCTTAGCAGTTTATGAAGACATGTTGTTTAAAGTAAAAGTCTAGGAACGGACAAAAAGTGACCATAAAAGCTCACCATGTCACATTGTGATAGGTGAGCTAAAAATATAAAGTTTATAAATCTGCGCTCTGCACATCGTCTCATGATGTTTAATATTTCTGCCAAGAAGTTTCATTTTCCTTCCATTGGTTCAAAAGATACAGACTGGACATAAAAACTTCAATATATGTCTATATAAATAAAAAAATCCACAAAGTGGGGCCAATTTTGATCTTAGAAAGTCTAAACTAGTGTTCTGCATAACGTCTTAACATAAGTACTAATAACATTTTTGCCTACAATGTGTAATTCCTATCAACCGGTTCAAAAGATGCAGAGCAAACACAAAATTTTGATTTAATACAAAATGACTAAGTGTCACCTTGACCTTGACTTGAGATAGGTCAAACCTGTGCTATGCATAACGTCTCATTATGTTCAAAATTTCTGCCAAGTAGCTTCAATTTCCTTCCACAGGTTCAAAAGATACAGACTGGTCACAAAGAAGTGCTAACAGATGGACGGACAGCCAGTTGCATAACAATATATCGAAATTCTTTTTGGCATAAAAAAAGCATCAAACAATTGCAACTGAACAAGTATACCTATATTCTTGCTGGTCAGTTCCTCGCTGGCTCTATTAGAAAATCAAACATGTTAATACAGTCTCAGTGCCATTGAGGAATTTTTAGGCAAAAGAGAACTAATTATAGCTTTAAATATATAATAACCCTCATTCATGAATGAATTAGGGTTAATACTAACTGTTAAATACATTAATGATAGTAAAAGTATCTACAATTAAACAGGGTTCCAACTCTTTCACATTTTCAAACTGTCAGGATTTTTCCAGGACTTATCAAGGACCTTTTTAAAATTTTGAAGGACTTTTTAGAAGATTAAATTTAAAGCTATTTGATTTCTTTTGTCCTATGAATATGTTCATGGCAATGTTTAGAACAACATTTTAAGTACACCTTTTCAACAAAATACATGTAATTCATAAAATAATCAAAAAAGTGAGTTTACATCTATCTGAGAAATACATTCAGTGTCTATGATTAATGTACTTAGTGGCAGCTACTGTTTTATCAGGTTTTCTTAATTCTTTTATCTCACCTGACATTTGACCTCAGTCCACTAAAGCTTTGTGGAATTATGGCAGAAACATGTCACAACAAGCAAATTCGTTGAATTTATATCCCCCGCCGAGTACTGGTTATTATTAACACAACAACTGAAGACATAAGGCTTTATTTATATATTAATCATGGCATAAACAGTAATATTCTTTGAACTTGATAAATATTCAGGGCAATAACAGAGCCATAACTTTGTGTTAAATAGTAAAATCTGGAAATGCCAATGAGATGTATGCATACTACATAACTAATCATGGAACAAGGCGACTATATGCACATCTCCTCTTAGTATCCCATAAAGTTTCATTGAATTCCAGCCAGAAGTAGCAGAGAAGTAGCGAGGAAACATATTTTTCTATATGGATACTGCATAACTAATCAAGGGCCATAACTCTGAGTTAAAGTGTCTGACCGGAACAAGCCGATGATATGCGCATCTCCTCTTGGTATTGATGATTCCCATAAAGTTTCGTTGAATTCCAGCCAGTAGTTGCAGAGAAGTAGTGCGGAAACAATTTTTACTCTACATGCATACTACATAACTAATCAAGGGCCATAACTCTGAGTTAAAGTGTCTGACCGGAACAAGCCGACGATATGGGCATCTCCTCTTGATATTGATGATTCCCATAAAGTTTCGTTGAATTCCAGGCAGTAGTTGCAGGGAACTACTCCGGAAAAGAAATTCGGACGGACTGATGGACGGACGAACGGACAAAGCCAAAACTATATCCCCCTCCCGATTCCATCAGCGGGGGGATAATGAAGGTCTATGACAAACGCCATTTGAACACATCTGCAGATGTTTCTTAATTATAATTTGATATTTAAATGTTGTATTCTGCTTAAGCCGGTGCTATGGGGGTGCACCTTCAAGTACCATACATCAACAGGCTCAATCAAACCTCAGTCTAAATTTTTTTAAGTTTGCTGTTTTGGACATTCTCAACTATTCTGTTTATTTCTATTTCAATGACAAATAAAATTCAAATTGATCTAACAATTTTTTTAACCATCTGATAATTAAGTACGAAACATGGTGTAGCCAATTGACCGTGCATGTATGTTATACTATTGTTTAGTTTATATTGATTTATTTTTGGCTTTTAACGTGGTTCTGGGCAATCAGGATAAAAGAGCTAGGTTCACTAACCATGGATTTTTGCCCAAGATTTTGGCAAAAATTAATTTGATGAAAAGTTCTTGTTTTTAGGTTTTATTTATAAGTTCAATCCTTAAACTGTTAAAAAGTTATGAATTTATAGACATATGTTTACATTTAGTATGATTTATTTTCTATGGAAATACCCCTATTTTCAGCAAAATTAGGAAAATTCACGTATTTTTGGTGTTTTAAACGAAAATTAAAGTATCAGCACAGTCCAGCCCCAACAAAATCATTACACCATTGTGTTGTAATGTATCAAAGGCTTAAACTATATCAATATAAAGTTGGGGCTTGCCTGTGCTCTATTCCAAAATAAGATTTTTATCTAATATCTAAACGTCATTTTCTGGCATTAATTTCAGTAAATGCAAATCATGGAGCATGTATATTGCACTCAACATTATTAATTTTTATTCTAAGTTGTTGAAATATGATTCATAACATATATTTTAATAAATGTTTGCAGGAAAATCATTTCTAGTAAATTAAAGGCACTTTCACTAAAATAAGTACGATTATGTTTTGGTACGAGTTCGACGGTTTCCACTGTAACAGTTGTAAACAAAACTCTGGCAGGTTAAAAGAATTATATGTAAACGCTTATAAATAAATGCTGAAATTCTACTTATGCCTTAAATATTTCATTCTTAGAATTAGCAAGGTGTTGTTATGTAATTATATTGATTCATTGAAAGAAGTTATGCTGTTCAAGCTATTTTATTGCTGAATACTTGATCTGGGTCCGGTTCTTTCGCCCTCACAAAACAACAACAACAACAACAAACAACTGTGGTCGTTTAACAAAGTGATAAAGAGGTTTTTATGTCTTTTTAAAAGGTAGATAAGAAGAATTCAATTTACTTTGTGAAAATAAAATTATCGCAAGTCTCAAAACAATTTAAAGATACTGTATAAAGAGTATTTAAACTTTATAATTCCACATCGTCTGCATTGATGTATAATTACATGTAAAACTACTTGTTAAATGATGTCATTGCATCCCGGAATGTGGCATTAGCTCAGTGGTAGCATGGGAGCCTCTCACCCAGGAGAATTGAGTTCAAAACCTTGATCATGAATTCTTTTTTTTTTTAATAATTAATAAAATAGATAGTGCTTTTTCAGTAAATAATATGTGATTTCATTAATGTATTCATTCCTTCAGATTTTAAGCATTTTAAGTCAGCGCTATTTCATAGTTATTAAGGTATTAAAGATTTGTTAGACATTTAATTGCTTAAAAATTCAACAAGAAGTTTCAAATCTTAATAATTTAGTATTATTCTCATTAAAAAATATATACAAGAAATTGCCAAAGCAGGAAGTATGTTAGGAGTCAACGGACGAAATGTCTTCAGTACATTTTCCCAGGATGAGAAAAAAAGCATGTTATTAAGCTCTAGCTGTTTCCAAGAATAAATAGACAGAAAGTCTTGACTTGTCCTTTTTCACAATTCAAAAGGATCCTTTTATTTTGTGCACGAAATTGCAGAGCATACATGTAAGCAGCAATAACTACATGAATTGGATTATCTACACGAATGACAGCATTGATGTGTATTACTGCCTTTCTTATGACTGGTGCACACGTAGTTTGAATGTGTTCCGATGTCTCCACCGTTATCTCGCATATGGACACCATGAGAAGTTGTGAGACTCAGTCAGGAGTGAGAAAATGGGCTGATAATCTTGCTGATCATGTAGCGGTATTTTGAAATTGATAGCCATTCAATACAGTGTGAAAGACAATCGTTAAAAGTAACAGTAAAAGAGACAATGCTAAATTACATTTTTGATTGTAGGCTTCCTTATGTTAAGTGTTTAATTTACACTCATATGTAAGGGCATATTGGAATGATATAAACCAAATCTTTACTTAGAGTTGTTTTATGTCACATAAATTATGAATACATGTAAATAAATGTTTTATGCCCTCGAAGAATGGCATATTAAAATCGAACCGTCCGTCTGTCAGTCTGTCATTCCGTCAGTCATTCAGGCTTTATACATATAGACAGTGGTGGTCATGTCCGCTCTGATTCAGTATGCATGAAAGGATTTTAATTTTTCTTTCATATATGAAATAACCATAGATGTATGGTGTGTCGCCAACAAGACTGGTTTCAATGACTTAGGTCCAGGATATTGTGGGGGTTCAAACTTTGTTAATTTTGATATTAATATACATATAGGCAGATATGGTCGTGTCTGCTCTGAAAATAATATGCATGAAAGGATTATATTTTTTATTTCACGTATGAAATTATCATAAATGTATGATGTGTTGCCCTTAAGACCCGTGTTCCTACGCCTTAGTTTAAGGTCACTGCTAGGGTTTAAACTTTTTCAATATTTATGTTATATACATATAAATGGTGGTTGTTGTGTCCGCTCTGTAACTTCCGTATATACATGAAAGTTTCAATTTTTATTTAAAAATATAAAGTCACCATAGATGAACAATGTGTTGTGAACAAGACCTAGGTTTCTTTGTATAACTTATAGTTCACTGCTGGGGTTCAAACTTTGTCAATTTTTACCACCACACTTAACATGTAATAGTTGGTTTAGAATTAGAATCCTTTAGGGGCATTTGTCACGTTCTGTGACAGCTCTTGTATTTTCTCAGTTCTCATATCGTCATGGATCATTACATTACAATTGTAATAAAAATGTCTGATTTCCATAATTATAAATAACACGAATCGTTTTCTGGATTTGGCTGTATCATAATTCATAAAAGAAAATAGTATCGAATTTGCAGTTCAGTATCAAATATTACGTATACTCCGAAAGAGCATACAGTCAAACATTACTTTTACTTGACAAAAAAATTCTAACGTACTTTTATGTCTATAAATTTACTTAATTTAGGCGGACTTTTACACTATACATTGGAATAAGTCAACAACTCCTAGTATTTACATTATACTATTTGCTTACATGTATATAGTTACTCAGTGTAAGTTTAGTTAGGTAAGACAGAAATACCTATCTGTTTTGTGTTATTATAATATAATAATAATAATAATAATAATAATAATAATAATAATAATATTTATCATTATTATTATTATTATCATTGTTATTATTATGTTCAACGTCCTTGTCTAAAGACTGACTAAAAAGGCCGTTAAAATTGCGATTGATTCTATACACCCTTATTTTAAGCGTAATGTAAGAAGTAGATGAATATAACAAGCAAATTAGACATTTATTATTAAAAAATGAACAAACTTACAGTATTTATAAAAGTAAAAATAAATACATTTAGGTAGGCGAAAAATAATATGCATGCACATTTTTATTTCTAAATATCCGAATTTGGAATATCCGAAACGAGCCCCATTTATCTTTTATATTAGTTTTGTGACACACTAGTCTAATTTTAACTAAACTATAATTTTGTTTACAATATATAAGAAATATATTGCTATCTTTATGAGTTTAATTCAGTCAAACACACAAATTTATTAGTCTTGTATGAAAATTGTCGTCAAATTTGTGATTTTATTGAATTAAGCAGGTGCTCTAATTATGATGTCATTATGTCGTCATAGTAACCAGAAATGCCTAATAAATGTCTATTTTGAAAATGTAACACATTGTACTATACACCTTTAGGTTTTTATCAATATCTAAGATGGGGCCATTTTTGGTGCTTAGTGAACCTTGCTCTTTCTTGACAAGGAAACAACCAGACCTGTGAGTTTTCATCTTTTTCATATGCTTTGAACACAGGCCAATCAAGCAAACTTGAGATTGATTTGTTACTTTCTCACAAGTTTTCCAAACACAACCCACATATTAACCAGGAAATAAATGTTATAACTCTGATAAAAGTCAAAACTGGCTTTCAAAAACACTTGTAAATAAAAAAAATCATCAATATTCCAGATGTGGCAATCAATATTGCAGTACACAGTTTCGGTCGTTTAGTTTCGAATTGGCCTGGGTCAAATTTACAAATAATAGACCCTTTTTTAATTGAAGTGGATATTTGAGCTTCTAAATATTTAAAGTTGCTATATTTCAAGTTTCAGTGGCTAGTATTGTGTTTCAGTTATCAAGTGAAATTGATTGCCATTTTGGTTATTTGATTTATCACCCTTTTTCCGGACAGGCTAATTCCAGTACCTTCCCAGACTTTTTACATATCAACACTAATTCCCTGACTTTTCAAGGCTGGAGCCCCCGTTTTCAAATTAACGGACATTTCCCGTTTTCCCGAATAGCTTATGAACCCTGATTAAAGCAGTAATTAATACATGTGTCAGTCAAGAATATTACCAGTGACAGTCTGTTCCTGCGTCTTAACAGAATCGTTGGAGTACCACCATCTATATAAGAATCATCTGTGTCGACATGCTCAGTTTCACTAGTAACGGTATCTGTATTTTCTGTAGCACCAGTACCTGTCATTTCTGTAGCACCAATACCTGTCGTTTCTGTAGCACCAATACCTGTCGTTTCTGTAGCACCAATACCTGTCGTTTCTGTAGCACCAATACCTGTCGTTTCTGTAGCACCAGTACCTGTCGTTTCTGTTGCATCAGAATCTGTAGTTTCTAGGACATTAATTTCCTCCTACAACACACAGACAGGAGTGATCTTAAATTGCACAACAGTTCCAATACAACCAAGATTTCAACTTGATTTAACTCTTTGAACATTTATCAGGAATATGTTTCATAGAAATTTAATGGTGACCTAGATTTCGACATGAAATGGAACAATTCCAAACTTGACCTAGATCTTTTTTTTTACCAAATTTCATAGAGATCCATTGAAAAAGTAAGACCTTTAGGCAGGTTAGAAAGTTTTCTATTATTTGACCTGGTGACTCATTTTTTTTACAGAAAGTTGATTCATAAGGGCATTATGATCAAGTTTTAAAAGATCCCATGGAAAATGTCACCTCAAGAGTGGTCCACAACAAAAGTTTAAAAACAACCATAGCTGTCAGTAAGACAGCACGCTGCACTTTTTCTTGAGTGCTTGTCTCTGAATTAGAGCAATGCCAGTAAACGGGACCTTGTCTCTGTAAAATAAGCCATCAGACTTAATGGAGATTGTTTCTTAAGGATTTTCTAAGTGTAAAAATTGACAGCATCACAATTGATTTCTCTGACTGTCAACTCTAAAGAAAATAAATAGTTAAAGTTTAAAGACAAAAGAACAGCTTCTATGGTCCAGTTGTTCTTGTAGCCGACTTCAAGGTAGCCCCTCACCTCTGGCGAGTCATGAGCAAAATCTTATAGAACAAAAACAACAGCGAAGATAACATTAAAACTTATAATGTACGATGAATAAGGGGCATTATTCAATCAAAATGCTTGACTGAGTTAACTCCTCTTGTATTTGAATTCACATACATGTAATTATGGCTAGCAAGTATGCACATTATCAGTACAATTGCTCAAAGAACTCTGAAAAGAATCTATCCATGTCCATGTAGTAGTAAAACTCAAAATAACATAGTAAAATATTGTCTTAGACCCTAGTATTACAAGTTCAGGTGATGATGGCCAACCAGTGTTTTTTTTCACCAAAATATTCGGCAAAATTGGATCCCATTCCCCCTCAAAATAGTATGTTTTTTTTTCCCCTCAAAGCCTAAATTTCCCCCTATTAGGCAGCCTGAAATTACCTGCAATGAATATAATTTTTTTGCAACTTACTGCCGAAAAATATTTTATTTTATGCCTGTAACAATTACTGTTAAGCAAGGTTGTTTACAAATCGTTCTCTGGTAGGTAAGGGGAGCTACTCCTGGCATCCCAACAAGTTTAACATGCGACGCATCGATATTTTTAGATCCATATATTTATAAAAAGAGACGTATTTTAAACTTTTGTTGCAAGACTTGCTTCCCTTTTCCACCAAAAAGAAAACAATATAAAATAAGTAAACTAATAAAATTTCCCTTCCTATTGCATTTTCCCCCTCCAAAGTGCACTGACCCCCTTCCCCCAAAAGTGAAAAAAACACTGCCAACAAGTATACAAAGCAATTGCAAAACATTATTATAGCCTTATGAAATGCGGACTCTGGTGCGACTGGAATAGCTCAACTTATTCTTCAAAAAGTATAGCTAAAATGGCTTGGATTATTATTGTGTTTTCCATCTACATTGTGCCATTATTGGTGATATCCTGACAAACTTCTGTCTCACCACCAAATAATAATATGTATTTCAAGTTTCATGACATTCCATTGTTTCTTACCATGACAAGAGTATCACAGACAGACAGACATCACACAAAATATTCCTTAGTATTTTGAAGGAAGAAGTAAGGCAACTTTTACTCACTTTCATTCTACATACATACCTTTTTACAAGTGTGAAGATACAGTCTTAATGGTGACGTTTTCAAATTCTTGACGACATCTCCTACAGGGCACTCTTCAATTCTGTCACCAGTAAAAGTAGCCAAAAACATTTGAAGATCATCTTTTTGTAGTCCTTGTATTTTATTTCTCCCCAAAGGAAAGTAATGTTCCACAACTTTTTCTTTTAATTCACAGGTTAAACATTGTTTTGGAACGTCTAAAGCAAAGTTTCCACCACCTTTATTTGCTGTCACCATCTGATAGGAACATTTTGTCATGTGTTTCCAGCCAAATATTATTCTTCTGGTGTCTTTGGTTTTTCTGGAACTGTTGTCACTCCTCTATAAAATATTTGACAATGTATGTAATCAACTATAATGTACAGCAAAATTATGAAAACAAAATAATCACAGTACAATGTAACAATTAAATGCTCTGGTATCACCAATAAATGAGCAAAAACAAATTTCCAAAATTACAGTGGTCATTAACCCTTTCTCTCATGGGGGTAGGGGGTTCAAAAGTGCGTTGTTTTATATGAGGTAAAGGGTTAAAACATTGTGAGCATGATATCTTTGAACTACAGTTTAAGGTCTGAAATTAGAATAATCTAGAAAGCTCAAACTAATGTTAAATTTCAAGTCAATGTGACCTAGGCTCTTGACCAAGCAACATATACAGACACATGATCATATCACATGATGACCAACATATATTCATGATCCTTGGGGATACAGTTCCAGTGTCTATTCTAGTAGGGGGGTGGGGTGGGGGCATTCACTCATATTTTTGTGAATCCCGCCCCCTATGTTTTCAGAGGAAGGGGGGAATTTTACATAGAGAAAGAAGGGAAAAAAATCAACAAATGTAATAAATTCTCACTTTTCAACAAAAATTCCCCCTGCTTTTCGAATCCTGACTTTAAAATTTAAGTCACAATTAGTATGATCATTTGACATAGTTGCCAAAATAATGAGTAATGCCCAACATACTTAACACACTTTATACATACTAAATGAATCACTTCACAAGCTTCTAAGCTTTAAAATTTTAATATTCAGGCCCCTGCAACATTTACCTTTGACAGAATGACCTGAATAAAGGGGTCAACAGCGCATCAAGACAAACAGAACAAAGAACTTTTAAGGTACTAGATTAATGGTTCACTGGATACAACAAACAAGTCACTTGGACCTTGACCTTTAACCCCATTCACAATAAGACTAACTAAGGTATTGGGGGAATCAGTGGCCCATGTTGTTTGAAATTCAGCAAATAAATTGAAACTGAAGGGCCTACTGACCTCATTCAAAGACCAACAACAGTAATGTTTTGGTAAATGAGAATTAAATGGCCAAGTTTAATTGAAATTCACCCAGTTCTTTCAAAGGGGATGTGATAAAGTTTCTGAAATATTTTAATATCAAGGATGCTGTGACCTTTAACTATAATCAAGTGATATGATGCTCATGAATGTAAGACCTACAAGGGGATCTTTGTAACCAAACTGCACTGAAAGCCACCATCTTGTTTAAGAAATGCTGTAACACTTTTATTTATTAGATAAATGTCACTTTCAGCAGTTTTATAACAATCCAACCAGAAGTTTCAGAGGAGAGGAGACC